CGAGGCGCGGGAGCAGCGCCGAGGGTTGCGATCCCGTTGCCGGTCCCCGGTCCGGTACGGGGGCAACACTGAGGGTTGCGCTCCGTTGCCGGACACGGAAAAAGACGACAAAAAAAAAAAAATAAAAATATGGGGGCACATTTTTTTTATTGCAATTCCTCTGAGCTCCATTATTTTTAGAAACTCGGGGAATTAATTGTAATTTTTTTTTTTTTTTGAGTAAACCAGATAATAGAAACTTTGTTCTTATTCTCACAATTAACATAGTAAATACGTGTGTTTATTTTAACAGAAAGACAGAATCCATTGATGTAATGGATGCAGTTGGAAGTAATATTGTGGTTAGCACGAGAACTGGAGAAGTGATGAGGATTTTGCCACGTATGCATGAGGATATAAATGAAGAGTGGATCTCTGATAAAACCAGGTATATGCAAGGTTGTTTCCTTAACTTTTGCAATTTATTTAAAGGAAATTTTATAATAATATAAAATTATAATCTTTATATTTAAATATTTTAAATATGTAAATATTTATATTTATAAATGTTTCAATATTTATATATTTAAATATAATATTTTATGTTTTCAAATTAGTTAATAAATATAGACTATAGATTTTAAATAGTCCTAGTTCTATCACTGGCTTTTGTACTAACTTTGAGGAAGATCTTTTTTTTTTTTTTTTTGTCTTTTTTGAGACCGGCCTCACCGCGCTCAGCCAGTGAGCGCTGTGAGCGCACCAGCCATCCCTATATAGGATCCGAACCCGCGGCGGGAGCGCTGCAGCGCTCCCAGCGCCTCACTCTTCGAGTGTGCCACGGGCTCGGCCTGAGGAAGATCTTTTTCCTCTCACGTGGAGAAACTGAAGTAGATTAAGATACTTTCTCAATCTACATGGAGGTTCTTGCTACAAATGAGGAAAAGGACAAACTCAACAGACAATGAAAATAGGCAGATGTGAGGGGGAGTGTTGTCTGTTCTTTAAGCTGGTGAGGTGTTAGGGGTCACAGAGCAGTTTCCTGAGAGCTTGTGTCCCTATCTCTTGTTAACAGTACATGTCTGATCAGAATGTGGACACCAGTTTACAAGTTTTGTACATACAGTACCTGGAAAACTAGCACTAGAATGTGAGCCCTTTGGAGACAGATGATTTTATTTGAACCTTCAATTCTGTACCCTCAGAGCCTAAAATATTTCCTCTGACCTCATTGGAATTAATACATGGATGAAATACTCTGATTTGTGTATGAGGAATAGAGCTTACAGCTTGGTCAAAAACCCATCCTTACTCAATTTTCGGTTTTATCTGGGTTACCACATGCACAGTGTGAAAATAGGTCATTTGTATTCAAAGCATCAAATAAAATTTTGTTTTCTATAAAAATTACAAATAAAAAAAGATAGTTTCTCAAACTATTTCAGTTTGTTCATTGGAGAAAAGAGGCTAAATATAAGAGTTTGCATAATGTAATTTTGATAAAATAGAAGTACTCAAGTTTTATAAAGATGAATTGGCTTTTTTCAGCTATCAGATTTTTTTTGTGTTATAATTTTAAGATTGTTCAGCTAGCTGAAAATATAAGAAATCAGACTTTTTTGGGTGGTATTTTAGTTTTAAGTGATATAACATAATCTATTTATTAGTTCATCTTGGAAAAAAATCTGTAATAATTATTTCGATGTAGGTATTGACTTTTTTGGGTGGTATTTTAGTTTTAAGTGATATAATCTATTTATTAGTTCATCTTGGAAAAAAATCTGTAATAATTATTTCGATGTAGGTATTTATTATTCTATTTGACACTTTAACCAATACTGTATTTAAATAACATTTCTTGTAGATTCTAAACTTGAAAATTATAGTTGCCTCTTCAGCAAGATTCCACAAATGGTGTAATTTCTGTTGTCTAGATTTGCCTATGATGGGCTAAAACGTCAAAGACTTACTGAGCCAATGGTCAGAAACGAAAAGGGGCTTTTAACCTATACCTCCTGGGAGGATGCACTTTCTCGTGTAGCTGGAATGGTAAAAAAAATTGAAATATAGAATAAATATTGTTTGTTGTGATTTTCAAAAAACATCTTTGCCATGAAGAGGGAGAATATGTATATGTGTCTCTTCTTTTCTCTTAGCAAGATTACGATTAATCTCTTTCCATTTTATAAACATTTATTGAGAACCATATGCCAGATGTCTGGCTAGATACAGGTATATAAAGATCACTGACACATGGTCCCTACTTCCCATAGTCTTATAGTAGAGAAAGTTGCATAATTAGACAATTATCATATGCTACTATGGGTAGTTGCACAGGGAGTGATATGAGAGAGAAAGCATATAGGAGACATGCCTAACCAGGACCAGCATATCAAGATGTGTCTTCCTAGAGAAGGCAATTCTTTAAGCAAAGCCTAAAGGTGAATACAAGCTTTCCAGAGCAAAAGTGGAGAGAATGGTTTTCTGGTCAGAGAAAGACAACCCAGACAAAGGGCTAGAGGGAATGGCAGATACTTCAGCAGAGATTGCATTTCAGGTAGCTATTATAACTCCACAGTTTTCATTCTCCAGACCTCATTAGAAGCAAAACCCCTTTGTTTCTAAATACAAAACAAACAGCCTCCTTCTAAGCTGGTATTATTAGCCTTGACCCCACATACACCTCTGTTGCTTTTTACTTTTGGATTATTTATTAATTGGTGTAAAACTTTTTAGTCATAAGTTTGTTACTTTTTTTTTTTACTTGAAAATGATTCTTTTATTTTCAGAACAATTCATTGTGGTCTTTGCTGGATGTAGGTTTGTTGGTGATATCTTTTTTGTTTATTTCTAGTTACAGAGATTTCAAGGAAAGGATGTGGCAGCAATTGCAGGTGGCTTGGTGGATGCTGAAGCCCTAGTAGCTCTCAAAGATTTGCTTAATAGAGTGGACTCTGACACCTTATGCACTGAAGAGGTCTTCCCCACTGCAGGAGCTGGGTGAGAAATATAAAGCTAGGATCTAGGCTTTCTTTTTTCTTTTTAGTTATAAATTATGTGTAATACAGCCATATCTATGGCCCAGTGACTTAATATGTGACAACCTTGATTTTCCAACGTATAGAGACTAAAATCAAACCAAGAGCTATAGGAGATAGGAGAATCCAGTTATTAATAAGTATCTGACACTTTGATTTAATTTAAGAATACTTTTTGAAAATTTTTTGTCTGCTAGTTCCATGGGTTTGATGTTATGAGAATATTTCATAGGGCTGACCAGTTAGCTCAGTTGATTAGAGTGTGGCCTCGTAACACCACAGTCTTAAGGGTTCGGTTCCTTGTACCAGCCAACTGTCAAAAAAAAAAAAGAGAGAGACTATTTCATGGATTCTTAGTATGTATTAGTTTTAAAGTAAACAGTGTGGCCTCGTAACACCACAGTCTTAAGGGTTCGGTTCCTTGTACCAGCCAACTGTCAAAAAAAAAAAAAGAGAGAGACTATTTCATGGATTCTTAGTATGTATTAGTTTTAAAGTAAACTTGCATTTTAAATATTGTATTTCTAGCACAGATTTGCGTTCCAATTATCTTCTTAATACTACAATTGCTGGTGTGGAAGAAGCAGATGTTGTCCTTCTGGTTGGTACAAATCCACGTTTTGAGGCACCACTATTTAATGCTAGAATTCGAAAGAGGTTAGTAATAATATTTATTCAGGGCTTTAAAAATATGTAGTATTCTGTTTTATGTGTAAAAATGACATTTTAGCTGATTCCTAATAATGTTAGTGGTAGTAAGACTGAAAGATAATTGGAGGGCAATTTCTAATAGGTCTCTGCCCCCATGGCCCTCCTCATCTTTTTATTTTTATTTATTTTTTTATTAAAAATAAAATTGATTATTTTGAAATAATTGAAGATTTATTTACTTTGAAATAATTAAATATGCTTCAAATGGTCTTTGTATACCCATTTTATATGTTCACCCAGATTAACTGATGTTAGTATTTTGCAATATTTATTTTATGGTTTTCAATCTGTGTATATATATGTGTGAATATAGTGTTCTGAATTTTGGGGAAGTAAGTTGCTGACTTGGTGCCCTTTTATCCCTAAATATGTCACTGTGGATTTCCTAGGAACAAGAGGCCTTCTCTTAAATAATCAAGAAATTTAGTATTGATACAATATCATTATCTAAACTAGTCTGTATTCAGATTTCGCCAATTTTCCCTTTAATTTCTTTTATAGCAATTTTTTTTTTCTGTCCATGGTTCAGTCTGGAGTCACACGTTGCAATTAGTGTTATAACTCTTCAGGCCTCTTTTGACTTTTTTTTCAAGAGCATAGGCCAATTATTTTGTAGAATGCCTGCCATCTTTTTTATGTATATCTTAAGGACTTATGAATAGGACATCCATGTAATTTATTTTCTAAACTGGAACACTGTTGAGAGTGAAAGGGGGAGTTGTTGATTACTACAGGATAACAATACCATCTCAGAGAAATCAGAATATGTATATGGTCACCATACTTATAACTATTTTTGGAGGAGCTGGATCCATAGTTCCCTGTCATAGAGAAATAAATATGAATGACTTAGTTTATCTTTATGAACTATGTTTAAATGTCCTTAATGGATAATTAAGAGAAAATTGACTATGCCATGTAAATAATGCTAAATAAAAACTATAGATCAATTATTCTAAAATTAAAATCTTTGTTTATAGCTGGCTTATAATTAGATTCCTACACAGCAAATTAATATATTCAGTTGCCTTAGTATGTATTTTTGCCACACTGTATTTTGAAAGGTACACAGTAAATTATATTCATTAAGGTCAAATGTTCTGTGAATGCATTTGTGCTTTTCACAGTTTGTAATAGTAAATAGATGTAGCATTTAGCATTGATGAGACCAAAAACTGGGCTTAACTTAGTTATTTGAATCTAAAAGCATTGTTTTTATTTCAGCTGGCTACATAATGACTTAAAAGTGGCCCTTATAGGCAGTCCAGTGGACCTCACTTACAGATATGACCACCTGGGAGACTCCCCCACAGTTCTTCAAGACATTGCTTCGGGTAGCCATCCATTCAGCCAGGTGCTCTCAAGTTATATGTATCAACTCTTGTTGATTTTTAATTATTATTTTTAAAATTTATTGTTTTTGTAATTATGGTATGTGACTAGTGACTTGTCAAAAAGAACATGGAAGAAAGTAAAACATTACCCCAAATCTCACCACCCCAAAACAGGTATTTTTATATTTTTTAATTGGGGGGGGGGGCAGCTGGTGGTGTGGGGATCCAAACCCTTGACCATAGTGTTACAACGCCATGCTCTAACCAACTAAGCTAACTGGCCAGCCCCCAAACACGTATTGATTAAACATCATAATCATCTCCCTATTTATATATAGAGCAAGACAGATGAATCGATAGACAAAAATGAGATCATACTGTACATGCTGTTTTTTATTTACCAGGCATTAATTTCCTTGAAATATCTGAAAAGAAATTGAAGTAAAACTGAAAGAATTGAACTTTCTACTTCACTGAAATCTTCCTTAACTGCAAGAGTTATTATTCCTTAAATTTCACTAGTCGTGAGCATGGTTTTATAACACCAAAAGTCAAGGGTTTGGATCCCCATACCGGTCAGCTGCCAAAAAAAATTTTTTTTCACCAGACCTATATATATTTTTTTATTTCTGAATTCTTTATTTAATTCATTTTGTTATTTGGCTTTATTTATTTATTTTATCCCAAGGGGGGCTCAGGTGCCTCTGTTCCTTGAGTTCATATTTACTTGAGAATGTTTATTTGTTGCTAAAGTGATAGCTTGTCAGGATATAAAATTTTAGGGTTACACTTTTTCTCCTCTTTGAACTTTGTGGACACTGCCTTTTGTTGCTGTGGAAAAACCTGGAGCCAACCTTATTTAATGCACCCTGTCCTGATTTTTTTTTTCATGTATGTATACTTTATCCTTGACACTTTATACTTGATTTTTCATTCTTGAAATTCAATAACTTCATCAAAATATGTCTTAATGTTAGTGGTTCTCTATTACTGTTTTTAGAACATGGTATACTTTCAGTCTGAAGATTCAGTGCTCTATTTTAGGATTTCTGTGCATGTGTGTGTAAAAATCCCATTTTAGATGATGGTGGTGGTTAGAAAACTAAGGGGTTTCTGTTTCTCACATAACAAGGGATCTGGAAATAGGCACTTTGAAGCATAATGCAGTTGTCTAACGATATCATCAAGGAGGAGCCTGCCTTCCTGCTTTGCTTTCCTCAGTGCATTTGCTTGCTCAATTGTGTCTGAGACTCTCCTCGTGGGTCCAAGATTCTGGTTGCTTCACTTACAACCTCAGGTGTAGACAAGAAGAAGATGCAGTGGAAAAGAACAGAGAAGCCAAGACCAACTTGGTTGGTTGTTTCTTTTGAATAGGAAAAACTTTATCATGATTAAAAGATTAGAAATACTAAAAAGTATTCAGTGAAAAGTCTCCCTCTCTTCTCTCTAGTTCCTATTCCCATGTAGTAGGTGACTAGTGTTCTTAGAGAAAGTTTTCTTCTATTATAGATTTAGATATATTTTCCATTAATTAGTTCTGTTCTCTTCTTTAAGAACTGTAGACAGTGCAGATACTGGACCTCCTTTTCTATCTTCATATCTGTCATTTTTCCTTTGTTCTTTTACTATTTGTTTTGTATAATTTCCTTTTTTCCCCCTAAATATAGACTTTATTTTTATAGCAGTTTCAAGTTTATAGAGAAATTGAGCAGAAAGTACATATAGATCTCATACCCACTCTACCACCCCAGTTTCTACTATTATTAACATATTACTGTAGTGTGGTACATTTTTTAAAAATTATGAACCAATATTGATCCCTTGTTATTAACTCAGTTTTACATTAGGGTTCCCTCTTTGTGTTGTATAGTTCTATGGGTTTTGCCAAATGCATAATGTCATGTAATCACCATTACAGTATAATACAGAATAATTTCACTGCTCTAAAAATCTTTGAGCTCCACCTGTTCGTCCCTCTCTCCTCCCCTGAAACCCTGGCAACCACCGATTTTTTTTTTCCCGTTACCTCAAACATTTATTGTTTCTTAGTTTTGGAAACATTGAAAATCCTCTCTTCTAGTTAATGGAAAGTATATGATAAATTGTTCATTATAGTCACCCTGCAGGTATAGAACACTAGATAATATTTCTCCTATCTAGCTGTAATTTCGTATCCATTAACTAACCTCTCACTATTTTCCTTCTCTCCTACCCTTTCCAGTCTCTGGTAACCACCATTCTTTTCTCCACTTCTATGTGATCAACTTTCCACATGTGAGTGAGAGCATGTGGTATTTTTTCTTTGTGTTCCTGACTTACTTCACTTAACATAATGTCTTCCAAACTTATCCATGTTGCCACGAATGACAGGATTTCATTCTTAATTATGGCTGAATTAGTATTCCATTATCTATGTATACCAAGTTTTCTTTATCCATTCATCTGTTGATGGACACTTGGGTTGATTCCATATCTTGGCTATTGTGAATAGTGCTGCAAATAAACATGGGTGTGTAAGTATCTCTTTTGACATAACAGATTTCCTTCCCTTTGGATTAATACCCAGAAGTGAGCTCACTGGATCATATGGTAGTTCTATTTGTAGTTTTTTGAGGAAACCCCATACTGTTTTCTGTTATGATTGTACTAAATTACATCCCACCAACAGTGTATGAGAGTTCTTTCTTCACATCCTTGCCAGCATTTGTCATTTTCTCTTTCTTGATAATAGCTGTTCTAACTAGAGAGGATATCTCATTTTTGATGTGCATTTCCCTGATGATTAGTTATGTTGAACATTTTTACATACCTGTTAGCCATTTGTATATCTTCTTTTGAGAAATGCCTGTTCAGCTCATTTGCCCATTTTTTGATTGGATTATTATTATTTTTTGCTGTTGAATTGCTTGAGTTCCTTGTATATTCTGGATATTAATCCCTTGTTGGATGCATAGTTTGCAAATATTTTCTCCCATTCTGCAGGTTGTCACTTTGCTCTGTTGATTGTTTCCTTTGCTCTGCAGAAGCTTTTGGTATAATGCCATTTGTTTATTTATGCTTTTGTTGCATATGCTTTCGAGGCCCTCTTCATAAAGTCTTTGCCCAGCTCGGTGTTTTGAAGCACTTCTGTGTTTTCTTCTAGTATTTTCATGCTTTGGGGTCTTACATGTAAGTCTTTAATCCATTTTGAGTTGATTTTTGTATACGGTGATGTACAGAGACCTAGTTTCATTCTTCTGCATGAGTATCCCGTTTTCCTAGCTCCACTCATTGAAGATACTGTCCTTGCCCCACAAAATATTCTTGGGACCTTTGTCAAAAATCAGTTGACTGTAAATACATGACTTATTTCTGGGTTCTCTATTCTGTTCCATTGGTCTGTGTGTCTTTTTGTGCCAGTACCATGATGTTTTGGTTACAGTAGCCTTGCAGTATATTTTGAAGTCAGGTAATGTGATACCTCCAACTTTGTTTTTTTAGCTCAGGATTTCTTTGGCTATTTGGGGTCTATTGTGGTTTCATATGAATTTTAGGATTGGTTTTTCTATTTCTGTGAAGAATGTTATTGGTATTTTGATAGGGATTGCATTGAATCTGTAGATTACTTTTGGTAGTATGGACATTTTCACAATATTAATTCTTCCCATCCATGAACATGGGCTATCTTTCCATTTTTTTGTGTCCTTTTCAATTTTTTTCATCAGTGTTTTATAGTTTTCCTTATAGAGATCTTTCTCATCCTTGGTTAAATTAATTCCTAGGATTTTTTTTTTTTTTTTTGTAGCTATAAATGGGATAACATTCTTGATTTCTTTTTCATCTTGCTCACTATTGGTGTAGAGAAACGCTACTGATTTTCATATGTTGATCTTTGTATTCTGCAAGTTAATGAATTTGTTTATCAGTTCTAACAGTTTTTTTGGTGGTGCTTTTAGGGTTTTCTATATATAACATCATGTTGTGTACAAACAGGGACAATTTGACCTTCTCCTTTCCAATTTGGATGCCCTGTATTTCTTTCTCTTGCTTAATTGCTCTGACTAGGACTTCCAGTGCTATATTGAATAAGAACAGTGACAGTGCACCTCCTTGTCTCGTTCCAGTTCTTAGAGGAAAAGCTATTCAGTATTATATTAGCTGTGTGTATGTCATGTATGGCCTTTATTTTGTTGAGGTATGTTCCTTGTATACCTAATTTGTTGAGAGTTTTTATCATGAAGAGATGTTGAATTTTATCAAATGCTTTTTCTGTGTCAGTTGAGATGATTATATGGTATTTGTCCTTCATTCTATTGATGTGATATGTCTCAGTTATCGATTTGCATATGTTGAACCAACCTTGCATCCCTGGGATAAATCCCACTTGATCATGGTGAATGATCTTTTTAATATGCTCCTTTATTTTGTTTGCTAGTATTTTGTTGAAGATTTTTATTTCTATGTTTATCAGGAATATTAGCCTATAGTCTTTTTATTGTTGTTGTGTCCTTGTCTTAGTAAAAAGGACACAGTTTTTAAAAAACTTTGGTTTTATTATCAGGATAATGCTGGCCTCATAGGATGAGTTTGGAAGAATTCCTTCCTCTTCAATTTTTTGAAAGAGTTTGAGAAGAACTGGTATTAATTCTTCTTGAAAAGTTTGGTAGAATTCAGCAGTGAAGCCATCAGGTCCTGAGCTTTAGTGAGAGACTTTTTATTACTGATTCAATCTCAGTAGAATTGGTCTGTTCAGGTTTTCTATTTCCTATTGGTCCAACCTTGGTAGATTGTGTATGTCCTTACCCGGAATTGGTCTGTTCAGGTTTTCTATTTCCTATTGGTCCAACCTTGGTAGATTGTGTATGTCCAGGAATTTATCCATTTCCTAAAGGTTTTCTAATTTTTTGGGTGTGTTTGTATAATTTTCTATAGACTGCCTTTACTGTCCCTGTGTTTATAGTCATGTTTTATTTTGTTTTTTACTGTTTCTAGAATGGTGTTCATCTCTGTAATTTGTTTCTTTCACAGTTCTTTCCTCAATTCAGTGATGAAAATCTCCCTTTACTCCGTAATACTCAGAGTATACTTTATTGTGTCACTTCTCTGAGCTCATTTTAAGTGATAGTGTGTTATTTTTTTATTTTTGATGAGGCAATTAAAAACTGTTTTTCTGAACTCTTCACGTTTTCTTGAGAAATTCCTCTTTTGATGGATGTGCTCCTCTTTGTAGTACTTAGGCCTAATTCCCATGCTGATTCTTTGACTGTGGCCTGGTATTTATAGAAGAATGATACAGAGGATGGGTGGGAGAGTGAGCTAGATGTATATTGTATGGCTTCTTATTTGAACATCTTCCACCAAATCTGTAATTTCTTTTACTCTTTGGGTGCGCTTACCTTCAGTTTTTTGGCATTCAGAGAGTTATTTAAAGTTTTAGATATTTACATTGTGATCTAGTGACCATTGCTTTCCCCACCTCCTTCTTTCTGTCTGGATCAAGGTGAGGTGAGTAGATAGGAGACTGTACTTCAGCATGGTTTCTCCTATTTTTCAATATCATCTGACTCTTTAGAGGAAAATTCCCCAATTTTTCTGGGACCTGCCCATAGTCATTCTGAGCAAAAGGTAGTTGGCTGGTGTTTTCATTTCTTGCTTTTAGATAATCTGTTTTATCTGCTATTCATTTAGCCCTTTCACAGTAGAATTGACAAGATGCTTTTGATGACAGTATATCTCGTTGTGTGTATGTCCACATGTTGGCTCACAAATCAGTAACATTCATGTTAGACCTAAAACTTGGGACAACATATTATAGATGCAAATTTGGTTAGGTGTCCAGTTTACTTGTAATAATTTTAAATTGAAGTTCTTTTTTTCCAAATAGGTTCTACAGGAAGCTAAAAAACCAATGGTAGTTTTAGGCAGTTCTGCACTTCAAAGAAATGATGGAGCAGCAATTCTTGCAACTGTTTCCAGCATTGCACAAAAGATTCGGATGACTAGTGGTATTACTGGTGATTGGAAAGTTATGAATATCCTTCATAGGTTTGTTGAGTAATTGTTCTATATACTATAAAATTCAAGTAATTTTGTGTATATATGGTCCTTATGCACTGTCACATTTAGATTTATAAATAACTTCACATTTAGCAAAATTATCCCAGTTGCAGATGTGATATATAAACCTTTACTCTCTGTGTGAGAAGAACCCAAGATAAAAATTAGTATTAAAATATCTGACATAGCAGTGATAAAAAAGTGAATACTTGGGCCGGCCCGGTGGCGCACTGCTACAGTGCGCCGCTTGGGAGCGTGGCGGTGCTCCCACCGAGGGTTCGGATCCCACATACAGACTGGTTCCCACTCACTGGCTGAGCGAGGTGTGGGCGCAACACCGAGGGTTGCGATCCCGTTGCCGGTCCCGGTCTGGTACGGGTGCGACACTGAGGGTTGTGATCCATTGCCGGTCACGAAAAAAGACAAAAAGGAAAAAAAAAAAAGTGAATACTTAAAACATTTATATCGTGTTGGTTATACTTTGGTTCAAAAATTGCAGCAAGTCCTCTGACTTGAATAATTAAAACATTTATATCGTGTTGGTTATACTTTGGTTCAAAAATTGCAGCAAGTCCTCTGACTTTGATTAAATGATAAAAATGTAAACTAACCTGAGAATTTAACTGAAGGCTTTTTTTCTGACTATATCAGTAATGCAAGTCTATTTTAGAAAAGTTGGAAAGAGAAGGAAATGTGACAATGGAAATGATCCTTATTCCATGAACTGTAGATAATTACTATTGCTATTTCTGTACATTTTCTTTTGGTCTTTTTTTCCTGTGCAGAAGTTCTTTAGTTGCATAGTATGCATCATACTGTGAATAGTTTTGTGTCCTGGTTTTAATTGGTTTTCTTTACTAAATGAGAATTTCCTCTTATGATTAGAAATTCTTTATAAGTAAAAGCTTTAATGGCTATTTAATATCATGAATATACTATAAATTTTTTAGTCACTTCCTTTCTTTTAACATGTACAGTAATGCTAGCTTTTAATGACTTTTAAATAATGTAGTGATGCACATACCTTTGAACTTCAGATTATTTCCTTAGGGTAGATTTCTAAAAGAAGAACTATTGGGGTAAACAGGATAAAAACTTCAGAGGTTCTTGATAAATGCTTCCAACTTGTTTTAGAAAAGGTGTACCAATTTACATAATACAAATTAGGTCCTCAGAATGGTTGCTATTTCTAGAAAGTTAGCAATAGCAAACTAGACCAAAGCAGCCCTACTGTTTAAAGTATAGTTATTCTAGTCCTCTTCTTTAAAAGATTATTTTCTGCTTTTAAGTGCAAAATTGCATATTCATAGAAAAAAATTCCTTAAGGACATACACCAATGTACTAATTATGGTTTTCTCTGAATTATAGTTTTATGAGTGGTTTTTAAATTTCTTCCTTTTGGGTTTTGAAATCATCTGATTTTTTTCTAATAAATATGTTTGGCTTATCATGTGTCTTATGACTCACTGTACTGATAAGAGTCAAACTTAAGGCAATTGCAGTTGGCATAGAGTTTCTAGAATTATTCTATTAAACATTATCTCATGAAAAGACAGTGTCCTAACTATCTTATATTTCTTTGCCATTCTCAAAACTGTAAAATACTACTATTTCTGGTTTTGACATCTATTTTAAGTGGGTAAGAAAGGGTCTTTGACAGCACTGAATGGAAAAGAGACTAGGTATCATTCTGAGAATCACATTTAATTTTTTATACTGAAAACACTACAAGTGTTCTAAAATTCCATAATGGTTTTACAGGATTGCAAGCCAGGTAGCTGCTTTGGACCTTGGTTATAAACCTGGGGTGGAAGCTATTCGGAAGAACCCTCCCAAAGTGCTGTTTCTCCTGGGAGCAGATGGAGGTTGTATCACACGACAGGATTTGCCAAAGGATTGTTTCATTATTTATCAAGGTAAGTAGCATTTGTGACCCCAGAAACAGAAGAGAATCATACATTGTGTATATTAGAAAGTATTTGACAATATATTTAGTGGACTGAATATTTTCCATTTGGGAATTCACCCTCACCCCCACTTTATTCAAACCAAACTTAGGTATTATTAGTTATGTAGTTGATATTGCTATTAATAATTATTACCTGATGTTATTTAATAACAAAGAATTAGAAGCGACCTAAATCCCCAGTAACAGGAATAGTTAAGTTATGGTTTATTTATGCAATGAAGTGTTATAATAAACATGAAAAGTCAACTTTTCAGAGAATATTTAGCATCATTACCTAATCAAAGGAAAGCACTTTGTATTGATAGTGTAAAAAGTTAAAAAATCAGTTGAGTCCTATGTTACAGGACATTTAATGAATTATATTTAACATGGTACTCTGGCTTCCTGTGTTTCATTTTCTTGAATTCTCATTCATTATAATATGTAATCAAGTTTCCCTGGAATGAATGGAGTCTAAGGTATTTCTGGATATTTTACAAAGAAAAGTATTGCATAACTTTTCACTTCATTTTACACCATAAATAGGCTTTTTATTGCCATGGCACATAAAAAGCATTGTACAATATTTTGTATCTTTAGTTCGATAAAGCTAAACAAAAATGCATAAACTAAAATCTTGTTCCTAGTTCTTTCCAGAGGTAATCTTTGATGATGGTTTTGATATGCATACTTTATACATTTTTCTTTGCATGTTGTACAAACACGTATTCAAATGAGATCAAACTTTACATACAAGTATTGTTCTGCAACTTTCTTTTTCTTGACTCAAGTCTATTTCTAAAGCTCCTGTTTCTTTTTTGAATAACTTTTTTCTTCTATCAGTTTTGTTGAACTATTAATAGGTGATAGTCTTTCAGAATATTGTTTTCTTTAATTTTCTGTTTATGCTTTTTCAGAATTATTACTGTTATATTCCTGTTTTACACTTTGCATTCCTTCATTTCAGTCTACTTTACCAAATTTCACTAACCGGTACATCTGAGCATTTCTACTTTGTAAGCATCAATATACCTAGTTGCTCATTTTATATGTGTGTATGCTATTATACCTATTTATGTGTTTTTATTAAAACAGTCTGGGAAGATACATACCATATGCTTCAATGGTATTTTCTTTGGGAATGGTACATCTGAGCATTTCTACTTTGTAAGCATCAATATACCTAGTTGCTCATTTTATATGTGTGTATGCTATTATACCTATTTATGTATTTTTATTAAAACAGTCTGGGAAGATACATACCATATGCTTCAATGGTATTTTCTTTGGGAAGGGAGTTGAATTGGGGACGAGGTGGTCTTTAATTTTTATTCCTTCAGTACTGTGTTGTTTTAATTTTAAAAACACTGTAATCTAAAAAATAGATTTAAAAAGGATTTACACTGTCTTCATATATAAGAGCAAATCGGTTTTTTACTAAAATGTGGCTTGCTATTTTTCATCTTCTCACAGGACATCATGGTGATGTTGGAGCTCCCTTAGCTGATGTTATTCTCCCAGGAGCTGCTTACACAGAGAAGTCCGCTACTTATGTCAATACTGAGGGCAGAGCTCAGCAGACTAAAGTAGCAGTGACACCTCCTGGCTTGGCAAGAGAAGACTGGAAAATTATAAGAGCCCTCTCTGAGGTATTACTTTTGAAGTATTTCTTAGGGATGCTGCTAAAGGGATATTTGATATGTTAGCTCGTTAGAATGATTTTCAAAGTCAAGGAACGTGTCAGTCTGAAAGGCAGAGATGATTTGAATTATCTCTGTAGGAAAAATATGTTTAGAAAATGAGGACTTGAAATTGGTGCTTTTATTGTTAACTTGTCTTTTGCCTAAAACGCTTTTTTTTTTAAGCTCTTTTTGCTGTAAAAATGAGCATAATGAGATTTAAAAGAATACACTGTTTTCTGTAAATTTGTATATGATTAATAACAGGTTAGCAGAAGCATTCAGATTTGGCATAGCATTGTCTCTTTAATCATTTATTTCATAATGAGTCTATTTTCTAACAAATTAATAATGTACTGACAGTTATGAATTAGAATTTTGACATTTGTGTTCCCTACTTAACTACTTCCTTAATAAATGTATGGACATTTATTGCTAATGGACACCAGTAGATTTTTCAGTAGTATTGCTTTATATCACTATAGTTGCAATTATATATTATTTGACGCTTTTAAGTATTAAAGCTTTATGTTCACTTTGGGGGTCTGATATTTTGTAGATTGCGGGTATAACTCTTCCATATGATACTCTGGATCAAGTGAGAAACAGATTGGAAGAAGTTTCTCCAAATCTTGTTCGATATGACGATGTCGAAGGAGCTAATTACTTCCAGCAAGCAAGTGAGCTCTCCAAGGTAAAAGTTTGCCTATGTACAGTTTTCATAATGGTATATCCACTGGTGTAACAGTACTAGTTTTCAATACTATTATTGCTCTCTTACTCCTTTTTTTGCAGCTAGTGAACCAGCAACTTCTTGCTGACCCACTTGTTCCACCTCAGCTAACTATAAAAGACTTCTATATGACGGGTATGTGACTGTCAATATGACTCTGCCAAATATGAACGTTGAAAAGGAATCAGATCACCTCATTTAGCATTATAATTCCAACCTGTGATTGGTAGTATTTGCCATTTTTAATCTTTTAAAGTTTTCGAATATTGGAACTAATGCAATCATATTTTCTGATTATACTCTAGTTTTTTTTTTCGTTTCTGAAATGTAAGCAAAGTTTAAAAATTGAAAAAGTTAACATTTTAGATATAAAATTTTACTATTGTAAGGAAAATCACTGTGTAGCAATTTAGGGAGAACTTTTCAAAATGGCAAACAACTGTGAAGATTTTTCTGAAAATTACAGATGAAATGTGAAACATGTTGAACAGTGCTTCTGATGTACATCGTTAGGAATGTTTTTAAGGAATGCAGAGCGACCGAAACTTGTTTACTGCAGATCTAACAATAGTTGAGATAACATTTAGGTTATGAGGTAGTTCATAATAGATGATTTTAAATAATTTTCTATCTAAAAACACATAGGAATGTATTTTTAAATTTGTGGTACAGTTTTTATCTAAGATTATTTTTCATTGGTTTTTAGTTATGTTATAAAAGTTATGTTCAGGGCCGGCCCCGTGGTGCACTCGGGAGAGTACGGCGCTGGGAGCTCAGCGACGCTCCCGCCGCGGGTTCGGATCCTATATAGGAATGGCCGGTGTGCTCACTGGCTGAGCGCGGTGTGGGCGACACCACACCAAGGGTTGTGATCCCCTTACCGGTCACGAAAAAGACAAAAAATAAATAAATAAAATAAAAAATAAAAGTTATGTTCATTGTAGAATACATACTTAAGCCTGAAAGCACAGTGAAAAATCACTACGATCCCACTACCGAGAAATAACTACAATTATTTTTAACATTTTGGTCAGTCATCTTCCAGGGATATTCACAAACATTTTTTATTAATATAAAAAGTGAGATTATTTACTTACTTTGAGGGAGGTTTGACAGCTTTATTGAAATATTCACATACCATAAAATTCACGCATAAAGGGTACAATTTGATGGATTTTTTTAGTACATATACTGTTTTGTAACCTTTTTTCTTTTTTTCTTTTTCTTTTTCTTTTTTTTTAATAAAGATGACCGGTAAGGGGATCTCAACCCTTGGCTTGGTGTTGTCAGGACCACGCTCAGCCAGTGAGCTAACCGGCCATCCCTATATAGGATCCGAACCCGTGGTCGTATAACTTCGTATAATGTATGCTATACGAAGTTATTACGAGATGATAGTTTGGTTTTCTCTCATTAGCATGCTATATATCCCTTTTATAAAAATATTGGACATTGGGGCCGACCCCATGGTGCGCTCGGGAGAGTGCAGCACTGGGAGCGGCGCTCCTGCTGCGGGGTCTGATCCTATATAGGGATTTTTCTTTATATAACAGATTACACACTACACACCCTTGGAATGAGGGAATAAATAAATAAAATAAAAAATAAAAGTTATGTTCATTGTAGAATACATACTTAAGCCTGAAAGCACAGTGAAAAATCACTACGATCCCACTACCGAGAAATAACTACAATTATTTTTAACATTTTGGTCAGTCATCTTCCAGGGATATTCACAAACATTTTTTATTAATATAAAAAGTGAGATTATTTACTTACTTTGAGGGAGGTTTGACAGCTTTATTGAAATATTCACATACCATAAAATTCACGCATAAAGGGTACAATTTGATGGATTTTTTTAGTACATATACTGTTTTGTAACCTTTTTTCTTTTTTTCTTTTTCTTTTTCTTTTTTTTTAATAAAGATGACCGGTAAGGGGATCTCAACCCTTGGCTTGGTGTTGTCAGGACCACGCTCAGCCAGTGAGCTAACCGGCCATCCCTATATAGGATCCGAACCCGTGGCCTTGGTGTTATCAGGACCGCACTCTACCGAGTGAGCCACGGGCCGGCCTTGTAACCTTTTTTCAATAACAGTATTACATACATTTTTTCCTATGTTTTTAATACTTTTCTATAATTTTAAAATTATGTATTGTATAGCTGTTTTATAATCATTTAATCATTCCTAGGGGTGGCTATTCAAAGCATTTAGCTAGTAAGGAGCTTATGTTAGGAATTTATTGATTACATGTAATTCCATAGAGCCTTATAGTCTTTTTTTAAATTGTTCCTGAATATGTACAACATTAAAATTTTAATATGTGCTTTTTAAGAAGTTGTATTACCAAAATGCACATTTTTTTAATATCTTTCAGATTCAATTAGCAGAGCCTCACAGACCATGGCCAAATGTGTCAAAGCTGTCACAGAGGGTGCCCAGGCAGTAGAGGAACCGTCCATATGCTGAAATATCTACTAGGAACTCAGTTTTCCTACAAATAGTTAATAGACAGTTATATTGGAGTTGATCCCTTAGAGGTTTGTCTCTTTTAAAAAAAAATCTGAATGATGTAATATTTAAGATTATACCATGCTTATTTGATAATGATATTGCAGTTATCAAAGAACTTTGCAGTTTCAAAAACATTTCTGTATTGTGTGTAAACATTGTTAGTTTAATAAAACTGTATACAGATATTCTTTCATGTAAAAGCATTGATAATCTTTGTGATAGATACAAAGAAAATCCTTAAAATATAAGCTTTTTATCTATCTTCATAGATCATTTGTTTGTAAAATGGATGAAATGAAAAGAGCTTCCATTAAGACCCGCTTTAGTGCTAAGAAAAGATTTAAACCTTTTTGTGAAGCTGGGTAAATAGAAAAAGTATATAATGTAATCATACATCAGGTATGTATCTTGAACAACTATAATTAATAATCCTAATAACCATAGCTGATGATTATTCAGCTTTTTCTGTGTGGTGAGCAGTCTGGTTTTACATGCATTATCTTTTGTCCTTGCTACAACCCTATGAGATAGTATTATTACCTCATTTTACAGATGAAGAAACTGAAGCCCAGAGATATTAAGTAGCTTGCCCAAGGCCACACCACAAGAGTCACAGACTCAAGCTTAGTTCTGTTTTATTCCAAAGTTCATTGTTCTTAATTGCTACACATACTTCCATCCCATTAATACAGATTCTATAGGTTGTTACTATTAAGAATTAGTATTGTGTTGTTTAGTGGATAATTGATTTTTCTGTTTTCTCTTAAATATGTTTTTATAATGTCATGGTGATTTATGTGACATTTTTCTTTATATAACAGATTACACACTACACACCCTTGGAATGAGGGAGGTCTCAGGAGATGTAATTTAGATTCTCATTGATGTTCTGTATTCATTATATTAACACCATCTGTAGTGTTAAGTCAACTAAATTATTCCAGTAACAGAAGACAAAACTATCACCTTTCATAATTTTCAATTGTCAAAACAAAAAAGGAAGTAAAAAATTTTCAGGTAACCTAGGAGATAATTAAAACTAGATTAAGTTGTTTTTTTTTTTTTTTTAAACTATTTAAAATTCTTTTGTTATAATAGGATGCCATCTTCCTGATATAGCAAAAGATGAGGTTTTTAGAATAGTAGTATGTCTTCAGTACTTTAGCTTTAAAAACTGTACAAAATCTGTTATCTGTAACAGCTTTTTCAGAACTTTATCCTCTTTAGTGCAATAACACAAAATTGTATGCTTTGCTTAAAGTACTTTGCTTAAAATTCCCAGTTGCCTGAAATCGTATAAATTCTTGCCGAAAATGATTGAATTCAATGCGTACTTTCTGTCCATCTCTACATTCTTCATCTCTAGTGCTATGCTGACTTTGAGAGTACATACTCCCAGTTTTGAATTTTATACAGTACTATTCAGTGAATGTGTGTAGACTTTATAGGGTTGTTGGTGACAATACCGTGTTCAAATGGAGAAGAGGTGCTATGTGGCTAAATTGATCCTGGATCCTCTACACAGTATGTGTTGAACAACTTATAATTCTCTAAAGAAACCTTTTCTGGGATAAGTAGTACTCAATAAAATGTGTTGGTTTTTACATAAAGTAAACATGAAAATCTGTCTCATGAGCACATATTAGTCATGTAATGCTAAATATTAAATATTAAAGTTATTGTTAGTATAAACAATGAAGATATTGCTAGGGAAAAAAAGACTTCGAAAAAGAGCCCCCAGATACAGGAAAAATACATATACGTGAGAATAACCTGGCTGGTGGAATCATTCTTAGCAATGAGGGAGTCATCAATGAGAACATCGACAGAGGCTCAAGACCAAGACCTTTGGGTGAAGAAGGCAATCTGGAAAGGATCTAGAATAATATCATTTGTTGAGAACCTTCTAAATATGTGACATTAAAGCTTTAAATATATTATGGCTAACATTTACAAAAACCCCAAATGATAGTTAATAATTGAGACTCGAGAAATATAAAATAAGTGTTTAACTAGAGATATTTTTACTTTCCCACATTGCCTCAATAAAAAGATTTTGGACAGCTATAAAAATTGAATATATGGGGCCGGCCCAGTGGCGCACTCGGTAGAGTGCGGCGCTTGGGAGCACGGCGGTGCTCCCGCTGAGGGTTCGGATCCCAATAGACCTCAGGTTATAGATTTTAAGAGAACAAGGATGTCAGAACCAAATACCCTCTGCCTAAAATGTTTTTTGTGTTTTTCACCACTGAAAATGATTAAAGATTGACTTGATATTCAAAATCTCTACTATCTTTGTATTTTTTAAATAACTTACACTGAAAAACATATGTTGGTATTGAAAAAATGGCAAATGTATGGTCTAGGACTAGTGATTAGTTTATAATATATAATTTGAATTGGTACCTGAATAGATCTTGAGATGAGTAACTTTATGAATTTCCTTTTTACAATCATAATTTTAGATCTGAAAAGGACTGTAGAAAAAAATCTAGTATTCCACCTGTATTTTATAATTATGGAAATGGAAGCCAGATAGAATAAGGACAAATTAGGGGCAGGCCTTGTGTTTGAACCAGCTCTTCTGACTCCTGGTTCTGTGACTTTACAAAGCCTCAAATCCAGCTCTGAAATTTATTAAACATTTGCAGAGTATCTACTGTGTGTTAAGTACAACATTAAGTAACAGGACTACAAAGAAGTACAATTTAGTTTGTGCCCTCAAGAAGCCAGTTAGCTCAGTTGGTTAGAGCACAGCCTTATAACACCAAGGTCACAGGTTTGGATCCTTGTACCGGCCAGCTGCTGGGGAAAAAAAAAAAAAGCTAACAGTATAATAAGAGATTTGTATAAGCACCAATTACAGTAATGTCATAACATATTCTAATAGAGGTATGTACATAATACGGTGGTGGCCATGACTGGTTTTAGTCTGTTTGTCTGGTTAGAATATCACATACTAGATAATTTATAAAGAACAGAAATTTATTTCTCAGTTTTGGGGCTGGTACCAGTATCTGGCAAGGGCCTTCTTGCTGCATCCTCACAAGAAGGAAGGCAGGAGAGAGTGAACCCATTCCTGTAAGCCTTTTTAATAGTGGCATCAATCCATTCATGAGAGCAGAGTCTTCCTGACCTAAACACCTCCCAAAAGGTCCCACCTCCCAACTCTGTGGCACTGAGGATTAAGTTTCCAACACAAATTTTGGAGAGGACACATTCAAAACCATAGCATTCCATTCCTGGCCCCTATAATTCATGTCCTTCTTACATGCAAAGTAAATTCATTCCATTCCAATTGCCCCAAAAAGTCTTATTCTAGCATCAACTTTAAAGTCTAAGTTCAAAGTCTCATCTAAATCAGATACGGGTGAGACTCAAGGCATGATTCATCCTGAGGCAAAGCATGTACTTTTGCAGTGTTTGTCAGAAAAAACAAAACGTTTATTTATTTATTATTTTTAGTGTTTGTCAGAAAAAACAAAACGTTTATTTATTTATTATTTTTTAAAAGATGACCGGTAAGGGGATCTGAACCCTTGACTTGGTGTTGTCAGCACCACGCTCACCCAGTGAGCTAACCAGCCATCCCTATATGGGACCCGAACCCGGGGCCTTGGTGTTATCAGCACCACACTCTGCCAAGTGAGCCACAGGCCAGCCCAGAAAAAACAAAAAGTTTAAATATCCATCAGTAGGGAACTTAAAAAAACTTTTGGTATAATCATAAAATGAAATATGTGGTTTTTTGCATATTTTAAACATTTTGGAGGTTTAAAATAATGAGCTAGATCTCTACATGCTGATATGGAAAGAGCTCCAAGATATATTAAGGACACAAAGTATATAATAATGTGTGTCTTATAGCCACATTCACCTGCAAGAGAGGAGACTAGGAAATATAGCCTCTAGTTAGGCAGCCATCTACCCAACTAAAAGATTCCAAGAGCAGGTGTTGCAGTTATTTATTACTGTGTAAAAAACCACCCCAAAACTTAGTGGTGTAAAACAACAATCATTTTATTATGCTCATGAGATTCTGTGTGTCCAGAACACAGGAAGGGCACAGCAGAGATGGGGCAACTGTTGTCTGTAAGAGTTTTCTATAAGACCAGGGCCTCAGCCAGATGACAGGAATATTTGAGGATGATTCCAACGATTATGGCAGGAAGATTCAGTTCCCAGATGGCATCTTCACTTACATGTTTGGTTGCTGGAATGGGATGGTGGAATTCAGGTGGGATTGTCTTCCAGAGCTTCTATTTGTGGCCTATATGGCATGGCAATGTCGGGGTAGTTGCACTTCTTATATAATAGGGTGGCACAGGGCTCCAAGAGTAAGAGTATTCCTAGAGACCAAGGAGGAAGCTGCAAGGGCTTTTATAACTTAACTTCAGAAATTAAATAGCATCATGGCCGGCCCGGTGGTGCACTGCTACAGTGCGCCGCTTGAGAGCGCAGCGGCGCTCCCGCCGAGGGTTCGGATCCCACATACAGACCGGTTCCCGCTCACTGGCTGAGCGAGGTGCGGGAGCAATACCGAGGGTTGCAATCCCGTTGCCGGTCCCGGTCTGGTACCGGCGCAACACTGAGGGTTGTGATCCGTTGCCGGACATGAAAAAAGACAAAAAAAAAAAAAAGAAATTAAATAGCATCAGTTATGCTGTACTTCATTGCTTAAGCCAGCCTGAGAGCCCACCCAGATTCAAGGGGAGGAAACAGACACCCCACCTCTTGATGGGAGGAGTGAAGAATTAAAACTGCCACAAGTGGGAGTGGCTGGTTAGCTCACTTGGCACAGCATGGTGCTGGTAACACCAAGGTCATTGATTTGGATCCCCATACTGGCCAGCTGCTAAAAAGTAAAAATTAAAAAATAAAACCACCACAAGGGAAGAATAGGTGATTGGGGGACAATTAGTTCTTGCCACAGGCCCTGTAATTTGCATCACAGTAATGAAGAGAGATATAAAGAGAAAAAAGACCGTAATACTTATGAAATCTCCATAATGTACTAATTTGTAACTATTTTCTCATCACTTATCACATACCAAACACTACTGCTCTTGTATCCAGTATAGGGTTGGTAAGTCCCTTATTGTATGTAGGATAGAGTTGAGGCCCTTCCCTTTTGGCTCAAATTCTTTCAGCTTTTAAATATAGTTCAAGAAATTTGGCACATATAACTGAAATGCTCTTTGTGAGATTAAGGCTATTTACAGGAGGAAATGATTCTTTGTTAAGGTTGCTTATAGATTGTCCAGCCTGGTTGCTATAGATTGGATGAGTACTTGGACCAAATGAAGTAAGATATTGAGTATAAGTATAAAACCCAAGGTAGTTTTACAGTTTCTTCTATTGTATTTCCACTTTACAGGATTTACTGTATTCTTCAGCAAGCTAAGTACCCCCTATGCCAGTGTACTGTACACTGTTATTGTAAATTATTTTCTGAATTAAAAACAGAAAGTGGCAAGTCACGAGGGCAAACTAGGACAGCAACTGAGCCTACTGAGATCTTTAAACCTTTCTAGGACTTTGGGATTTTCCTCATATTCCTATGGGTAGGGTGACCTTGCCCTATTGTTCTAGAACAGAAGCATCTACTATTTTGCTGCTGGGAAGTCCTGGGATAGTGTTGAAGTCTAAAAGGAACAGAAAAACATGACTTAATTTCATTAATCTCAATTTCCCTTGCCAAGAAGAATAAAGGCCAAAAAAAATTTGCCTGTTTATTTCTTTTTTCTTTTAAGACTGGAAGCAACCTGGTCTTTATCTAAGGTATATCCCTACATGCATAAAATTAAATAACGACAGAAAATATGCCTTCCTGTAGTTCCCGAAACTACAATTCCCAAAAAGCATAAAGTGGAAATTTATTGTTTACTTAGCAGAAACTAAACAGCCACACCCCTTCACATGATGGGGTTTGTTTTGTATCTGCAAACCCAGAGAGAATGGACTAGGGGAAATCCCTGGGCAGCAGCATTCCCTTAGGAGATTGGGGTTATTCCTCAATAATTCCTGTGTGTGTCTTCTGTGACCCATGCCCTCTCCTTGTTTATCCTTCACTTTCCTAGTGAAGTGAATGTGTCCATCTCTTTTCAAATATTTTGTTCCACAAGAGATGGGATGGGCTCCTTACTCATTTCACCCCCTATGTCTCTAGTGGTTGGTCTCTACTGTTCTTACCTAATATTTTCCTCTCACATCATTTCCAATCATACATGAAGAACATTTCTACAGGTTCAAATTTGTCATTGTCATCTCATGTATTATAAAATGATAAAAATTTATCCAAAGTTTACTTCTGCACGTCCTTCATTTGGACTTGGCTTACAAAATATATTGTCCTTTGATTAAAAAAATGGAATGATTTTCTTCCAAAAATGGCATATTAGGACAAATATAAGGGAGTGGTTTTAGGAAAAGTGTGGTACCCCGTATAAATCTATTGAATGCTAGAAAAGATATCTAATCATTTTTAATAAAGTATTTGGGTCTTGAGAGTCCACATCTAATTCCACTGTCAACTTTTTGATTCGAGTTGGTTCTTTCATTCATGTTATGGTTTAATTCAATAAGTACATGTGTTAAGAGAAGTGATTTT